GTTTTTATTGTCTGTGTTGTTTTCTCTGTGTGTGAACCCGCAGTCAGTGCAGGGGAATTTAGATACTCAGATAGTGAGAGCTGCAAGTCCTGAAACCGCTCAGGGAGGCGACGACGTCCAGCCTCCGGAGGCCGGTTTCACTCTGGGACGCTTTAAAGTGAGTCTCGTTAAATTTAAGATTCAAGGTTTAACTTTAAACAGCTGAACGTTTAAAAACCTCACGGTTCATCTTGTTACGTAGGTCTCTGTCGCAGCCGATAGAGCTCCAGATCCGTCCACCATTGTGTCTTCTTCGTCCCTCACACCATCCTCTACTTCCTCGTCGTCCTCATCCTCGTCGTCCTCATCCTCGTCGTCCTCGGCGCCTTCAAGCCCAGACAACACACTCCACCAGTCGTCCCCTCTGCCTAAGGGGCCCAGTGAAGCCTCAGAGATCTCTAATGACTCTGCCATTCAGAGCACCAACGTCGGACGCTTCCAGGTGACCAAAAGCAGCGAAGCCTCGTCCGAAACGAGTGCCGCCTCGAAAGTGGGACGATTTTTAGTCACAGGTAAGTGGGAGGTTTGAAACAAGTGTTGAAAAACCTTATATAAAAGTGGTATGTTAAAGTTCCCTTGCTTCTCTTTTGGGGGTTTGATCCAGTTTACGACAACCAACCAGTAAGAGCTGGATGCATTAAATATAAATTATGGATGTTGTCTTTTCTACATATTATACATTCAGGCTCAAATAAATGCATACACCCACTAATCTTTTGGAAAATGTATTTTAGCTGCAGAGCAAATACGTTATGTCAAAACATAGCCATCATCAACATTGTGACATAATTCTGGCTGAATGTTTGACCGCTCTTTTATCTAAAAATAGTTGATGGATTTAGATCCAGAAGCTTAATGTTAGTCCCTTCAAAAAGGCAGATGTTGGTGTATCTAGCTGTCGATTTAAGGTGAATCGTATTGTTACTTCTTCCTGTTTGAGCAGCGGACAAGTGGAAGTGAAATGGGCCCGCAGCATGATTCCAATCCCACTCTGCTTGACAGTTGGCACCGTGTTGAAACAAACATTTTCTCATCAAATCCACGACCTGCAGGTCACGTCTAGCGCTGCACGGCTATATGGAATCCCAGCGTTTATTGTTTCCCCTTACGCCTTAATTAACACATAAACATTTAATAATTACATTTAAATTTATGGATTCTTACAGTTGCCTTGGCAAAAATCTGCTTTCACTTTGAAAAACAATCAAGTCTAATATCTACCCTCTTGGAAATATGAATAGGCGTTGATGCTCTAAGAAACATAGCAGACGGAGATTAAAACCATGGCAACATTGATTGCCCCAATAAATGACGATGTTCAACTCACATCCCGGCTGAGATAAAAACCCTTCATAAACGTCTCTAGTCTTTAGGGCGTTAGTTGAAGTCTAGTCTGAAGGATTTGTTTTGTTGTTTTTGCGACTTGAGTCAGACCTGTTAGTGTCTGATCATCTGATTGTCATAAAAATTTTAAAGCTCAAGCTGATGTTGTGACGTTTCTGCTGAATCCGTCAGACCCAGTGATGACAAACGTTTCTGTATCATGAGGTGAAACTCCATTTGAAGGAATGATATTCACTGTTTGATTTTCTGCAGTGACGCCAGCTCCAGTAGCAAACTCCGGCTCACAACATGGCAGCGGTTTGCCGAACGGACCGTCGTCATCGACCTCTGACCCTCCAAACCCACAGCTCCATGAAACCAGTGAGGGGGACTCTGAAACGGAGGATGAAGCCCTTCAAAAAGAAATCAGTCGCCTCAGAGAAAAGTGCGTCAAACATTTACTTAATGTTGAGATTTTACATCATGTCAGTTCAAAAAAGATAACCTAATGTCTTCTGTCTGCTCTTGCAGACACATGAAGGAGATTCAGCTCCTCCAGAGTCGTCAGAAAGAGGAAATAGAGGCGCTGTACTCCAAAATGGGGAAAGCTCCGCCTCCGTCTGTCGTCTCCCCTGCTGTGGCTCTGGGCGGAGGTCGGCGAAGACGCAAAAGCCACAGATCTCGCAGCAGCGGACAGCCCAGTCCCAGTCATTCAGGTCAGGACAGGCGGCCGATCATCTCGGTTTCCAATAAAACATGACGCCTAAACATTTAATCCTCGTGTTTTGACGCTCAGGTCAGAGTCACGGGTCAGAGTCACCTCTGAAGCAGAGTTTACCGTCTGCAACCGAAGCTGCAGACGGAGCCGCTAGCTCATCTGTACAACCACTCACATCGTCTCCATCGCTGCCGAGCCTCAGTAGTTCTTCCACTGGTACGCTTAATATCATCGACCAGGAACTGAAATGTTTCTCCAGTTCGCAGCTCATCTGCATGAAATATATGTGCAGGATCAAGTGGAACCAGCTCCTCCAATGGGTCGAGCCTCGGCCAGAACAACTCCAACTCTCTGTCCCAAATGGGTGGAGCGGCTCCGTCCACATCGCAAACCCAGAAGACCAAGAGCACCTTTTCTGATGACATGCACCAGCTGGTGGATAACTTTGCCAGAGATGCTAAGAAAGGGCCCAAGACCGGATCCTCGGCAACTCTGGGGCTGGATGTAAGCCTTCAGTTCATTTCTATAGTGTAAAGGTTTTTATTTAAAAGGACAGCTGTCCAATATAAGGAGCTAATTAATATCTTACATGTGGTAAATAAATCTCAGTTGGTCCTGGAGGCTGAAGCTAGCGGCTGGTTAGAGATCAGCTGAGGCCAAACTAGACTTCACCATCTTCAAAAAGCTCCAGTTTTAAAAAGTAAACAATTAAAGGTCGGTTTGTTTGAATTGTATTTCAGAAACATTGTAGCTGTTTTTATAACACCATGTGGTTAACATGCTCTTATCTTAAAACATGTTTTCCACTGGAATTAGTGACACGTTACCTGCCCTCTATTTCTTGTGTTAGCAATTATTGGTTTCTTTGTAAATAAGCACCAGATCCAAATGTGACACTTTCACATAAACAGGTCAGACGCCTTAAGGGGTTCGCGTTGTTTTTACATGCACAGATTGGATGTAACCTTTGACCCTCTCAGACTAGCTTCAACATCCAGGGCCAGTAAACCAGATTTAGCTTCCACTTGATGGTTTGTACCAAACGATGCATTTGCGGCTAAAAAACACTTCTAACATCAACATATGAAAAGTTCAGACTTTTGATGAATTTAATTTTTGGGTTAACTGATTAATAATTGGATAGTGAAAGTTGTGTAATAGGAGCTTGAGCAGAATTTGAAGCAGATGAAAGCAAAAGTGGGTAGAAAAGATTTGCAAGGACGGTTTTTATCTTAAATACAAATTTGTTTTGCACAGTTTTGGCTTAATTACTGCTCTGTGTTCTGTCAGCAGATTGTCTGTAGACTCTCGTTAATGATTAATCAAATTCTGAATCAGTTAACAATTATTTAAATATTTGCTTAGTTGTTTCAGCCCCTAATTTCAACAAATCTTTCCCTTCTCGTTGCTACACAGATCATCCCTCCTGCGAATATGGGCCGTAAATTTTCGGCGCCGGGACAGCTGGGTCCGACCCATCACTCAACCTCCAACTGCACAACCACCACCAGCACCCACCTGCCCAACCCGGCCAATCCCGCGGCCCCTATGGTGCAGAGGAAAGGCTCCCTGGGGCCAGTCACCCAGGGTTTCGGCTATGCTCCAGCCTCCTACAGTGCTTCTGCGTGGGCCGGACCCACAGGCAGCTGCCAGGTCGGCATGCACAACCCCTCTCAGCCACTAAAGCAGTACCAGCCCCCCACCTCGGGCTCGGTGTCCATGCACCAGGGCTACCACTTGGGAACAGGTCAGACCAGCCAGGCCACGGTCAGCCACGGAGGGACCAGTCCAAGGCCTACGTAGCCCAGTCCGGGCCCTGCTCCAGGTTGAGACAAAGGGCCAAACAGAGCAGAGAGGTCAGAGGTCAGGTAGTCATTGACCCCAGAACCACCGCCTCTCTTTGCATTTTGCTGGTTAGCTGGCTTTGTGTTGTGCTTTTTTTTTTTTTTTTTGTTTTTTTTTTTAATTTCATCTTTTTAACATTGTGTATTATTTCTGTTGAAGAGTTGACCGGTGTGGTTCGAGTCCTCTCAGGTAGATTTCAGTCTGTCTGACAACTGGTGGGAGAGTGCAATACACCTCCACAGCACAAAGCGCGTCACTCTTAGCCTGCCGTTAGCTGTGGAAGCAAGCTGTGACGAGTGAGGCGGCGGTGTCCGCAGAAGCACCGCACACCGAAGGCGTAACCAAAAGCAGCCACAGGTGTCTTGAAAACAAGATGCTGCAACATCGTCATTCCTTTAGGAGGGACTGGGACACTCATCCTTATTGATCTGGACTTTAGAACGGGCTGGGACTGAAGAACGGTGGAGCCGGTCCACACGGTGGTGGGGAGTAAAGTTGTTTGGCAAGTGGGGAGGAGAGAGTGAGTGTACAGAAAGTGTGAAATAAGAAGTGGAGTGACTCTGTAGGGTTAGAGGAAGGACTTGGTAAGTCAGGGAGGAGAAGTGACAGGGCTGCAGTACAGATGGATCCCAGAGACTACTGAGTAAAATGCAATAATGGTGAAGTAGATACAGTCCCTTATAACCGTGGCCTTAATCCCCAAACGCATCGAAACATTGACCTTGTACATAGAGATCAGTCCATAGGGTTATGATTCTATATTTGACAAATTCCTGTCTCTGTCTTTGTGGTTTGAGTTTTCGATCATCCAGATTCACCTGTGAGAACATCGTCCTGGTGTTGATCACCACTAGTTTAACTGACAAGGCGGCGGCTGCAGGAGTTAACCCCACCCAAACATCAAATCACTTCTTTGACTTCAGCCAAGTTATGATTTGCTGATAACACGCATATCGTATCCAAATGAATATTATCGGGATAGTATTTAAAGAAGTTTTCTGTTGTGTGGACAGGTGGCGCAAAGTACACAAATACATGGGTTTACCGCAAAGTCTTGTCCCACAAGATATTTGTACCCATAACATTTAACTGTGACCTCTCACATCCCAAAGTGTCTGGGCTTTTTTTTTTTTTTTTTCCTCTGATCTGTTTTTGTAAGCGTATATTTAATACAACAAACGTTCTTTATGGACCTGTATTCAGCCATCAGATTTTGATGTTGTTTCACTGTAATTATTATTAAAAGGTTGTTAAACAACATGTAAAGAAATATTAAAAAGTGCAATTGCAGGGTGGTTGCAGTTAATATCGTTCTCACCGTGCAGGAGTGAACCTGCTGTTTTATTAAGCTCTTCTAAGACCGCCCTGCGCCCATTTTCTATTTTTTGTTGTCGTTCTTGTAAATATGCTAAAGTGAGGCTTTCACATAATACTCCGTCATCACCACTCTTAATGCACATGCACTCTAAGCCGTAAACACGAGGAACACTTTAGTGCCTTGCATCCTCACTAATAATCGGTTCCAGATTCATCCAGCCCCCTGCAGCTTAAACCAGTACGAAAAGTTAAAAGCCACTCGACACGGTCAGTTCAGAGCATGCAACGCTGAAACAGACACAGAACCAAGAACACAGTTGAAATGTGCCGTTTCTTTTCTCTCTACATTTACGTTTGTGTTGGTTGTGTAATCAGCTGTGTATTTCTACTTGACTCGTGGGAACATGGATTTTTGTTTTGTTTTGCTGACATTTTCTTTGTGAATTTATTACTAAACAACTTTATAGAAGCACGTGTTTTAAGTGGAGAGTGGGCTGTACAAAGGTTCAAAAGTCCTCCTGCTGACTCAGCTGCTGCCTCACCACCTCGCAGCAGTGCCATGCTGTTGTTGTGACTCTTTCGCCTGCTTGTAGATCGAATTGTTTAACTTCTCTAGAGAAAAAAATGACTTCCTGCAATGCAGAATATGCAATGTTTAAAGTTTTATAGGGGAGCGAGGGGTGTTGGAAACATTTGCATGCTGATGAAGTGTTAACTTCGACGTTTTTGATAACGGAATAAGTATTTCTTTTACTCGTTTGCTTTTCCTGACAGTCGTCAATATCACAGGCGCAACCTCAGCAACAGGTTATCAGCATGCTAGCTTTACTGGGTGTTTATTCCTATAAACAAACGACCATTTCACAACTTGACCACTGCACAACACAAGCTCACAAAGGTTAACATCCATGTGCGATCACACAATTCCCAGAACCCCTCCGTCCTGTTAAAGGCCCCGGCTCACAGTTCCACTTGCATCCGATCCCTCCTGACTTCCTGTGATTCTGTGTCTGTTTTGTGTACATTTTTCCACATTGTACAAAATGTAAAAACAAATAAAAATATCAAATACAAACAATGTCCGTGCCATTTGTCTGTTTACAGGGTCTCCTCAAAAGATTTAAACATTTTATTCAGATTTTTCTATTTAAAACACTTTTAAGAGCAGAAGAGGTTTTCTGCAAACATTGTAACATAGCAGTAATGCTGTGCAAGAGGAACACGAGTATGTTGAAAATAAATAAAACAAAGGTTTTAATCTAAGCGCAGAGTAAAGTGTCATGTGTCCAGCCGGCGTTTCTTCAGCTGCTGTTCTTGTCTGTATGGACTGAAAGCCTCACCTGGAAATCAGAGAAGAAGTTAAAATAAAAACTTCAGCCAGAGGCTCAGAAACTCTGAGATCATCTACCTGGTCTCCCCTGGTACTGATTGTTGTGCTGCGCTCTGGAGTGAGTGTTCGGGCTTCTGGTCGACGCTCTCTGAGGCGTTTTGCTTCTCGTCTGCATCTGGTGACTCCCCGGCGTTCTGGGAATGCTCCCTCTGGGAGAAGACGCGCCTGCGAGAACGTCCAGCTCCTCGATCCCATCCAAAGTGAAATCCCAGAGTTCTGGGTCGTCTGCAGACACAGCGAGACGGGAGGAGGAAACCTCAGCAACTGCACCCGAGGCGATGGATTAAAGTTCTGATTGATCCAGCTGAGTTTTCAGAACGATCCAATATTAGCCCCATGTAAACCTTCTACTTGTAACTAATTACTGTCCACATTTTAGACTTTAATGGATCCATACCATCTAACGCCGATTGGCCCTTCACATGAAACCTGCTCTGTAAGATCTACGCTTCTTTTCTAATTGAAAACTGGTGAAAAAAAAAAGCTAATTGCGATAACTTTCACTGTAATCACACCTGAGAAGGATTTTAAGTCCTTTAGACTATTTATGCCCCGTTTGAATAATCTTACCTGTACATGTGTTCCTGCCGGCTGACTGGTTTCCGGATGTTGTGTTGTCGCTAAACGCAGACGCACCGTCCTCACCTGAGGAGCAGGGGAAAAAAAAAAACAAAAAAAAACTGGAGATCAAATCTTGACATGTAAAATATGAACTAAGAATAGTTGAAAATAACTTTCTTATTGACAACCTCACAATGTTTTAAATTTTTTATGTGAAGCAACCAATCATGCTTTAGTGGAATCAGATTTGTCAAGCGGATGTTTTCACAATCATTTAACATAATCATCATTACATCATCTTCAATAATGCTAGTACTGCACATTTTTCCTCAACATGGATGTGGTTAGGTCTGTCACCATAACAAATTTCGCAATTTTGCTCAATGACAAATTGTCCCAGAAATGATTACCATTGCAGACAATTTTCAACTAACATAATAATGGTACATTAATGCGAGAGCATCTTCCAAAAGAACATGTAACAGTGGAACTGGGAAACATTTTAAATATTCAAATTAAATAAAACAAGGATAGTTAAAACAGGTGTGTGTAAACACAAAAGAATTGTTGAGATCATTTTAATTTATCATGCTATTAATTGTTTTATTGCTTATTGCGACAGTCTTAGATGCGATTCACCTCTAAAATGTACTTTTTGTTAAGTACTTCAAACTCAAACACGTTTAATCTTTTCTATGCTACAATACAGAAAAAATTAAAGGGTTCACTAAACTGTGTGAATCATATTTTCTCTGGCTGGATCTCTACCTCCCGTGGATCTCCGTCCCATCGCGACCTCCGCCTCCTCAGTCTTTGCTTGTTGCAGTTTCTGCTGCAGCTGCTTGGCCTCCATTTCCCTCCTGAACTTCTGCTGCAGCTGCTGCTGCCGCAGCTTTCTCAGATGTTTGGGGTCCGCGTTTGGGCCGGACATGACGGCGTCGGCAACGTCCGAGGCGGCTGACCTTTAGAGGACGAAGGCAACGGTAAGAGGTGCTTTTTTCTTTCTTTTTTTTTTTTTTTTAAAGCAGAGATGACGGAATAAGATCGCCCCGCGAAGCACGGTGTGTTCACCTGGAGAGGACGTTTTCTGTCTTTATGTCGGGGGCAGAGCCAGCTGAACTGGACCGGTGGTCCTCTGATTGGTTCTGATTGAGGACTCTGGGCTCCAGTGGCATCCTGGCAGGTTTTGTCGCACTCACTGGGTTTTGATCTCTGACCAGACTGCAGAAGCGGGCCTTCTCTATGGACGGCTGACCCTCGGAGCGCTTCGTCTGTGCCGGGTCCAGATCCGGACGAGGCTGTGCAGAGAGAAGCGGTGACTGCAGAAACATCGACACAAAGGTTCAAGCTTCCTTAGTTATTCCTCACCTGTTTGGGAATCTTGTTAATGGCAAGGAGGTATTCCTTGTCCAGGATGCAGTTTCCGAGAGCGTTGCCAAAACATCTCCACATGACGAATAAAGACGTTAATTTTTCTGCACCAGTCCAAGCAAATTTAAGAAAGACAAACATGAAAACTCTTCATTACTTCAGAGCTCTCTTCATGCCGTCTGTCACGGCTTCCTTTCTCGCCTTTTCCAGAGACAGAGCTTTAGACCTCAGACCCTCGCTGACTCCGTACCCCACATCCTCATGAAACGACCCGTCCTGGAAGGAAACAAATCGGTCCATTCCACAAATTCACATCGATGACATGGGTATTTAAGAAGTGGAAGGAAAATTATGCTTTGTTTCTTGCCGTTTGGCTTTACAAGTTTTGCTTATTTCAGGATCTCACTACAACAGCACCCCCTCGCTTTTCACATTTCAATCAGGAAAACCAAGCATTCCTTTACAGTTATGCACTACTTTGTGGTGCTCTGTCAAATAAAAATCCCAATAAAATGCATTGGATTTTGTGATTTTAATGTAACAAGACAGAGAAATACTACAAGCAGTCATTAATGAAGAGTTTGTGAATGTCCGGTGATTGTCCAACCTTCAGCTGCACTTTGACAAACGCACTGACTCCAACATAAAACTTCCCATTGATGAGGTCCACAAAGTCTGGAAACAAAGGAAAACTTGTTTTTATGATTACTTCTTAAGTTAAAAATCCTTGTATATTACTTTATTACTCACAAACTATTGGCATTTGACAAGTAACACGTCTTTGGCAGTTGACTCCACAAGCACTTCTTACCGACATTTTGCTGGGAAATGGAGTGAGACCATCCATTGTATCCAAACATCTCATTGGCCAGGCTGATGACGCGATGTCCTTCAATGTAGCAGACCTGTCCAAAACAGGAAAAAGGTTCGTTTAGCTCAAACCCCAGAGGCGGTTTGTTTCAGGAAGTCTTTAAAACGCTCGTCACGGCTTTGAAGAAACACAGAGTGTTGCCTTTTGTCCTCCTCCAGCCATTCTGGTGCTGATGAACTCGGGTCCCAGCCGCTGCTGCAGAGCGTTCTGCACGGCCCGGTACTCCTCCGCCGTGTAGGTGCACTGACCAGAGGCAGAGGTACAGACAACATTTATGATGAGAGAGGACGCGGCAAAGATAATCAGTCAGTTTACAGCATGTTACAGATTAGGTACTTGACAATTTAAAGAATTAAATGTCATTTAACTTTTGATTTGTTTCTTGTTCTAATAAATCTCAGTAAGTTTAAGATTATAAACCAATTTAAACAACACAGTGCTTCCAATTCAGGAGTGTGGTGAAGAAAGCTGTAATTATTGTACATTATTGTTTCAGAAACTCATATTTTTCCATTCAGTTGAAATAGACAATGCAGTCAAACTTTGTTTTTCTCTAACCTTAGTTATTGCAGAACTTCAATACACTATTCTGTCTTTTCCTGATGATTTCTTTCTTTCTTTATTTTTGTTGTAATCTTTTAAGCCTTTTTGGAGTTGTGGTTATGAAATATTAACCTTGAAACTCTTTGAATCTCATCAGTCCTTTCCATATGTCATGAAACAACACAATATGGAAATCAGCCTGTGATATGCAGAGTGAGTTATTGGACCATTTTGCAGCTGTTTTGGTAGCTTGCCTAGCTTAGATCAACTCTGTTTTAAATCCTATAACTCCAGTCAGATTAAGACTGGATTATCCAACACTAAGGAGATGTTAACTAAGGAGCAGGTTTGATCTTTGGTACCTTTACTTCAATTGTAAACATGAAAAAAGTACCAGTTTTCATGCTTTGTTCAATCATTCAAAACATTTTTAATGCATTCAGTAATGAAGGATAAACGGATAAACTCAAGTAGTGGAGTTTAACAGTGGAGCAAATCAAAGACAGGTCATGTCACATAAAATGTAAATAAACTCAGTATTTTTTTGAACAAAGATTCTTTGCAGCGTAAAATAAATATCCAAACGCATAATTTCATTCAAGCCACACATCTGTCAAACCAAGTAACTTTCTTTTACCTTAATAATGAATTAAGTTTGTTTAATTTATTCTTTATTGTCCTTAATAAATATAATAGAACATAAAAATGGCGCTTCTCTCTGCTTACTTGTCCAAAGCTCCTGGATGATGCATGGACACTCTTCTCCTCCGTGCTCATAGCTGTAGTCCTAAAATTATTAAATGCCCAAAGTGCAAAAATGAATTTACAGTATAAATAATTATGTCACAAGTAAAATTAAATGGGAAATAAATAAATGATTGTACTAAAATTTGCCAATAGTTACACATAAACACAAGATTTATTAATTAAAATATAAACTCACTGTATGATATCTTCACCCTGAATTTATTGAGTTATTTAATTGTTCAATTGGTGCAGTCTGCCATGAAATGATTAAAATTGTTGTAACTTCTTGATATTCCACTCATCTCAACTCCATCATTTTAGCCTCTCCCATTTACTTTTGGGTAACTTACTATATTTACTTTAGTTTAAATAAATACTAGAAAAGTTCCAAATGTTTTGTTAATATTCTACTTATGAAACATTATATTTCCATTTACTGTGAATTTGACGTAAATGTCAACCATTTGATGACTTTTTTGTTGTTGTTGAATTGTGACCCTTTTGGACTTCCATAGATGTACATACACACGTAGCACAACCCAGCAGCTCTTTCTATTGTGTCAAGTAGCTTATTTAAAACTCCTAAATTATTCATAACATAAAAATATTTAGTGAAAAGTCTTTTAAATGTTGAATACTTTTAGGAAAAACTGTCAATCTTCCCCTCTACTTGCTAATACGGTTTGTACCCAGGTTCGACTATGAATAACTACAAAACATGTAAGTATAACTCACCTCTTTAAGCTCCTCTAAGCTATTTTTATGATAAAAATCCACAGAAATATTTAAGAAATAAGCAGCCTACGTTTTCAAAGTAGCAACCGTGTGAACTTCCCGCTCGCTCTACCGGGGGAGGAGCTTCTTCATGCTGCTTTCATGACTATCGGAAAGGAAAGTGTCAACAAGCCCACGGCTACGAGGAATTGTTTAAAAATTTATAATTTAAAAGAAATAGTTAAATCATTAAGTAACTTACTTAATGATTTTATTTAGACACATTTAGACTGCAACTGATAATATAGGAAGGAAGGGCAGGGAGAATTGGTAGAGAAAATTTCGAGGTGAACTTGAAGTTTTGTGTCATAATCTCTTGTCTTTATTCTACAGGGGAAATTTAAGCAAGAGGAGGCGCATGATAAACCAGAAAATGTCCAATAAAAATCAGGCAGATACTTTAAAAGTTTCAAACCCATAAATAATTTTACTTATTGGAAAATATACAAGCGCAATACGAAAAATAAATTTGCGTTTTTTTCATCATTTATTGTTCTTTTGGTCATTATGATGTTTCAGTGCCCCTTATGTCTCATAATATCAGCTATTTTCCACCTGTACAGCTTAATAAGATTTAAACTAAAACGTCATATTTCAGAATGGTCAAATCTTGTCTTAAATCCAGTAAGAATCCGAGTAAGGACTTAAAAATTGCTTTTCGCAGATGACAGAGATGCAGTTATTCCGCAAATAAGAATTGGGCATTTTTTCCCACTTTCTACAAATTCATGTTGCACTTTTTAGATGTTTGCATTTAACCCATCCTAAAAGATCTGTATTATTTCTCTTCCACTCCCCAATTGTATTTTGAGTTTTTCTATGATTATTTTCCCCTCAAAAAAGATACATCGAAGTTTGTGGTTTAAATGTGCCAAAAAGTGAGCAAGCTCAATGTGTGGAAACATTTTTGCAAGGCGCTTTTCACTTTTATAACCACATAGCTCTATAGTTTTATGATTTGGTGTCAATCTAAAGTCGTGCAAATGCGAATTTTCCATAACTGAAGATACATTTTTCACTTTTTACTGTACATGTTTTTTTTTTTTTTTTTTTTTTTTTTATTTATGAATGTGTTTGCACTGGCAAGTGACAAAGACCTGCTTGCTCCGCAGCATTGTTTTTAAAGCCAGTGCAGATAATGTGTGTTTGATTGAAATCTTATTTTTCGTGCTAATAAGAGGCAATGTGGCACATGCAGTTCTTTTTCTTGCGCCACTATCTGTACATATGCCACTATGTCCACTGCTCTTTCCTGTTTTGCTTATTATTGCTTCCATCAATGAACTGGCAATAAACTATCCCGCGTGTAACAGAGAAGAACTGCATGTTTCTGGCGGTGAAGCTCTGCGGTTTCCCTCGCTTGCATACAGCTATAATAATAACAAATAACCACAGCGCGCGTTCACGTGCATTCCTTGAACCGGCAAGAGGTTTTTTCCTTTTTTTTTTTTTTTTTTTTTTGCATCTCGTCAAAACAAAGCGGGGGCGAGCCGCAGCCAGAGAGCGAGCGGCGGTTCCTGCCTCATGAATGAGAAGTCGGTCGGACCTTTCGTCCTGCACCCTGACGCCCGCCCGTGGGGCTGCGCAATCCGGCGTGGTGCAGCTAGAGGAGCCTCCCGCTGATGAGTCCCGGACAGAAGACGCTTCCTCTCGGCTCTACATGACCGCTTCATCCCACCGGGTGCGACACGACGGGATCAGGAACGGTGAGCGCAGGCTGCTGCTGTGGGCGGGCTGGGGGCGCATTTCACACACACACACACACACACACACACACACACACACACACACACACACACACACACACACACACACACACA